AAAAAATAGTGAAAGAATAGGCAAAAAGGTGGCAAGAAAGCAAAGACTTAAGCAACAAACCAAGGTCGGGTCGTCAAAGAGCCACCACGCAAAGACAAGACAACCAGATTTTGAAGCTGGCAAAAGAGAATATAGATATTTCAGTGCCAGAAATCTGCAATGAGTTTCTTAAACAAAATATAGATATTCACGTGCGCACTATACAATGGTACCTTGGTGAAGGTGGGGCTCACTATTACGGAAAACTCGTGAAGCTATTGCTCAGAGAGAAGCATCAGAAAAACAGCTCTTGTGGGCGAAGAAATATAAGGATTTTGATTGGGACACCATGATATTTACGGATGAAAGTACGTTCCGCTTGAATCAATGGTTAAAAAAGGCTTGGTAGTTCGTCAGGGCAAAGAAAATAACCCGTTCTGTCATGCATCTGTTGAAGGTTCACATATGGTGGTGTTTTTCTTCTTCGGGCTTTGGAAGGTTAGTCTGCTTTACATAAAACCTTAATGTGCAATATATGACCACCCTGTATGAAATGGCTCTTCTACTTTCTGCTATGGACCTTTTTGGTAAAGGTTGTGATAGTTGGATTCTGCAGGAGGACAATGACCCGAAGCACTATTCAAAAATCGTGAAGGCATGGAAGGAGGAAAATAATGTCACAGTTCTCCCTAGCTGTCGATATCACCTGACCAAAACCTGATTGAGAATGTCTAGAGACTTATGAAAATGAATCTGGCAAAAAAAAAAATTAGAAAGCTTAGTACTCTGAAGGCGCAGATAACCAAAGAATAGAATCAATTGTCTAAAGAGTATACAGCTAATTTGGTAAAGAGCATGAGGCATCATGTGGAGGCCCTAATTGAATCTGAGGGCGATTATACTATACATTAATTTTCATGTAATTTAATGTTCTTTTAAATAAAAAAAAAAATTTTCCCTACCATATCTCTGTGCTGAGTTATGGGTGCAGGGAAACTTTTGTGGGTACTGTAATGTAAAATTAAATTGATTTAAACTCCAATCATACGAAAGTCTTCTAGTATTATTGCTGCAGGTTATTATTAAAATCACATGATATTTTTTTTTTAAAATTCTTAATTAAAATTTATTTTATTAAAATTATGCTCAGAAATTACATAAAAACAAATTTTCATATTTCAAATTCAATCAAAAAAGATAGTAAAAAATATAGTATATTTCCTTTTTGTAACTATGAAAGGTGTATATAGTGCCGCTTGATTAGTAATAGATGTTTGTTGGCCTGATAACTTTGAAATACAGGATCTAAATATTGGTTTCTTGCTAAAATTTGATCTCGTTAGAGTTAGGCCACACAAAGTTGATATTTATTTTGCATTCCATGGATTTCAAAATTCCCAGTCAGTTAAATTTTTTTTTTTCTTTTTTTTCACGTCTAAGATCGCAAATTTTAATTTTTCATTTTGTATAACATAGAATCAGAAATTGGGTTGAAAATTGAATTTTTTACTAGTTCTGTCAGATAATTTCAGGACAACAAGACTCTATCAGGTATATCAGAGTAATTTGTGAAAAAAATTAAATGGAAAAATAAAATAATTGGCGTAACTAGGCTTAAAAAAAAATGAGAAATTGAAAAAATGGGCCAGCAATTAATGTAAAATGAAAAACCAACTTTGTGTAGCTTAATAAATACCATCATAGTCTTCATAACTCTTTTTTGATTTGTAAGAATCCCATATGTTGTATGGTTTAATAGCTGGATATTCTTTCATTTATCACATATGAGAAGTGTGGATATTTTAATTTTAGATTTCTTACATCTATTCGTTTTAGCTGTATGAAAAATTTGCAAGAAAAATCTTCAAACTCATAATTGAGTATATCTCTATATTTGTCAACCAACTGTAACCATATTGTGATATATTTATCTGTATTTTGTACTCTCAAGAGTTTAAGGGCTCTAATAAGTCTTTGTAGGATAGTAGTTTATTATAATATTGAAATATTAAAAAAGAGTTGAATTAAAACACAATCGTTCTCTTATCATTATATACCTATCATTCGAATTATTAGTACTTATTATTAATCAAAGAGTTTTTATTTGGGCAATAATTTGGTTCTGTCAGTGTATATGTTATATCTGCTAGATAACAAGAAAAAATTAGCCTGAATCTGAAATCTAGATAATAAATATAGAAAGATGGTATAGAAGTATAAATAAGAATCAAAAAATAAATTATTTTACAATTTTAAAGTTATACACATCAACTTTTAATTGACAGAAATTTGAAAAGAACATCTAATATTTATACAGATATTCATTAAATATTTATGCAAATATTTATTGAATATTTATACAAATACTGTTGGCCCTCCCCAAACCAATCCTGTCAAAACTGATATTCTGCCATAATCGATTAAAAATCGATCCACCGGGCCTGTTCTCTAATTTATACCTGATAACTTGCCATTTCTGATATCTGATAGGACAGATACATAAGTTCCTGATTTGTCGGATCTGGTCACATGATTGTTGGCCAATTAAAATCGTGAATTTTAATATGATAGACTCAGCGATTGCGAACGTACGTACATACAGTACATACAAAAAAGAAAACAATATACGTATGTATATGGTTCAGATTATGGCTTTTTCATATTACATACTTTGTCAATAAACATTAGAAAGATTTACTAATGTAATTTTATTTTATTTTTGTTGGTTGTTACAGTTATTCTCTTTAAGTGCAATTTATTAGGACTTAGAGGGTACACTTAGAGAGTGTTGACTGTAGAGCACGGTTATATTTATAACAAAATTTCTCAATATCCCCTTCATGATATTTACAATATAGACGAAACAGACCTATTTTATTCTATAGCTTCTGATCGTACAATTGCATCTCACCAGATTGAAAGGTCAAAAAAAAATTGCACAAGAATCACGATTGCGTTTACGGCCAACACAGATGGTACTCACAAACTTGAGCCCTTCATTATTGGACATGCTGCAAGACCTAGATGTTTTAAAAAAAAATGGGTGAAGAACTTGGATTCTATTACTGTAATAATAAAAAAGCATTGATGACTACCATGTTTTTTCAAGAATGGATACAAAAATTTGTTCAAAAATGAGACAATCCAATTATCATGTTTTACTTATCCTTGATAGTGCCCCCTCACATATTATTAGTGCTATCACTCTTACTAATATAAAAGTGCTCTTGTTGTCTCTATATATGACATCAAAAATTCAACCCATGGATGCTGGCATCATTGCATTATTCAAACTTCATTACTGTCATATTCAGCTTCAATATGCAATTGATCGCGATGAAGCCGAGAAGAAAGATATATATAAAGTTGATCAATTGTAGGTAAAGTTGAAAACTAGTGGATTTAAAATTTGTTATAGCTAAAGTTGAAAATAAACCTATTTTAATATAAATTTTAATTTGTTAAAAAAAAAAACAAAAAAGAAAAAAAAAAAGGTTTTAATAGAATTTATATTTTAAATATCTTTTTCAGCATCAACTACACCAATTTTTAAACCCATTAATCGTTAAATCATTAACTTTTTTGATTTTTTTTAATAAATCAATAAAAAATGTGGTAAGCTTCAAGTAGGGTTTAAAATGGGCCAGCCCAAAAAAGGCCCGCGAACTTTTTTTAAAAATTAATTCTGGCTATTATCTATAATACTGGCTATATAATAAATTA